CTCCTTACTCTCCTGATATGGCTCCTTGCGACTTCTGGCCATTGAAAGGAATGCGATTTCAGACAAGAGAGGACATTATGGCTGCAATGACAGCTGAGCTAAACTCCATCTCGAAAGAGGCTTTCTCGGAATGCTTCCAACAATGGCGGCACCGCTGGGAGAAGTGTGTGGAGTCCCAAGGAGACTACTTTGAGGGTGATTAGGTTTCCAATGCTCCAGATATGCTAGTTTTTATTCCCCGGCCAATGGTCGGATACTTTTCTCACAGGCCTCGTATATTAGTTAATATTAAGTTATGCTATGACTCCTAATTAGTCTTTGTTGTTTTTCTTCTATACCATTTGATTTGACTTAACATGTGTATTTAGTATACTCATGAAGTGGTCTTCATTTATTATAACTTCCCATCTTTATCCTCATCCTGATCTGGATCGATTCCAATGTATGGTCTTTATCCACTAAGTCATGCCAGCCGTTCAACCATGTAATAAATTGCAAATGTAAATGTACCACTTAATTTTTCAATAAACAATAAAAAAATCAAGAAATTAATATAGTATTCAAATTTGTAACTGTCAATCATTTTATTAAGGTAACAAACAAAAAATGACACACATTTTGCTCTACATTGTATTTTACTCCTTTACTTTCCAAATGTCAAGAGAAGAGTACCTGTGTATTCAAAATGTTATTTTGCTTATGATGGAATAATATTTTACCTTATTTTCATGTATGTAGTGCAAAAACATTTTTAGGTTTGTTAGTATTAGTTAATTCCCAAAATCTTTAGCTGTTGTTTCGTATACCAATTTAATCTTTTCCAGTTCTGTATATATTTGCTAAATCTATTTCATATTTTATAAATATATGATTTACATACGAAATTTATATTCAAATACATGTTATTATTGTTTTAGCACAGACAATAAACTACCTGCACTCTTTTTCACTGTGGAGAATTTAACCCTAGATTTTAGCATTGTATGTCTGTAAACTTACCATTAGCCCACCAAGGGACAATAAAATAAATTAAAATATAGTTGCATTTTTATTCTGTCTTTATTCTGCTAATATTCCACAGTGGACAACTTATTATATGCTGCTTCCCATTATCCTTGAATAAATTTCAAAATTTTGTTTTCCTCAGATACCAAATTTGAAACTTTTTTTTGAAATTCTTTTTATAGTATGCTTTCAGTTCATTAATGGTAACTATACCAATATAATGTTTTAAGTAAGAGTTTCTCAAAGCATCAATCTCTAGCAATGTTATCCAAATGTTTACCTACTTTTAATATGTGTAGTAGCACTTCGCTCATTATGTTTATTAATGTCTCTCTCATTTGATGTAATTGCCAAGTAAAGAGCTTCCTCATTCAGAGAAGTATCTTAACATATGGTTGTTTATAGCTTTCTTGTACCCTTGCTTTCACATGTTATGATCAAGGAATGTTATTTTTCATTTCAAAATCCTTGCAGGTAGCCAAATACTTTCTTTTCAAGAGCAAGTAGTTATTGATATACTCTGTGGATAAGTTCATTTGTGATGTTTTTAAAATACAAACTTTTAAAATGGACATGCTCTCATGCAGATAATGAAACACTCAGAAATAACATTTGGCTGTTGTTTAAAATTAGTGTGTTTTGAATAGATATACTGTGGGTTTTTTTTTAGTTGCAGGGGTTTCATGTGAGGGTTTTTTTGTATTATGTTCAACAAATCAAATAAAATCATCATCAAATCAGAAAGCTTAGTTAGAATTAATGAGTGTGGTAAGCAATGTCAAATTATTCTGATTAACTAAATCCATATTTATTGACATTCATTTTTATGTTTACACCATTGAAATAACATGTATAAAAAAAAAACGACAAACTGGCTGTTTAATTATTTCTACTTGCAGTCATGATAGGTTTTAGATAAAAACATCATTGTCATTGAGAATAAAATGTTTTCATTATTTTGTTATCAATTTATGACTTACACAGTCAATGATGGACTTAGTGCATATTTTAAAAATCTACAAAATGGTGATGCAATTGAACAGTAGGAAATGTTTAAATTATATTTAAAACAAAAATGTGTCAGAAGTTTCTTGCAAAATAAATTGTTTTAGAAAATAAAATTATTTTTTGCAAGATGCAAAAATGCTGACCAATAAAAGATTTCTATCATATTAAACATAGGGTAGTTTGAAAATTAGTTTAAAAAACTAAAACTAGCTGATATAGTATGATTACTCTCAAGTTAGAATAATCAGTTACTTAAATGCAATTAATTAAGTAGCCCAACAATTAATTGAGTAGCAAATTCAATAATTGACCAGCTCTAGTAATAACCAACTATGTTTGAACATCATTTGTAGTTAAATGCTACAAAAGCAATGACAAACTATACCAAAGTTAGTTTTTTCTTAGCATTTGTATACTTTCTGTTTGAGATATTAAATGGAAACAACCCAAACCAAATGTTGTTACCTTAATAATGAGGTTTGTTAAAATCATTAGTCCTAAGAAACTCAAAAAATAATTATACAAATGCATTTTTCCTAAAAGGTTATTATGTTCTTTAAATTGAAAATTTGGTTAAGAGGCTAGTTTTCTAACTCTAGGTTGTTTTTACTTTATAAACTTCCACGGTATAAAAACATTGTAAAATAAATGCATCAATCCACTCTATGTGTGATATAAAGTTGGAAATCTTTCATGATCATCTTTACAAACCTTGTACTACATTTTCATAAGTCTGCTAATGTGTTTTGTAAACGTACTAAGGGAAATAATTTTTGTTTGTTTGTTTGTTTTTTCAGATAGAAAAGGTTCTTCAAGTTTCAGAAATGATCAAAAGATCTGGGAACTTGTATTTTAGGAAGCAGGACTATGTTATGGCACATGCCAAGTACAAGAAAGCATTAAGGTAAATTAACAAGTTCATGTTATGCTACCTTACAGTAAAAACAATAAAAGTTATTGGTATATGAAGTTTATGTTGTTGTTTTTGAAATAAGGAATTTATGTATACATAAATAATTGTTTTTTAATTATTTTATTTATCTTATTCTGGTTTTGGACTTTAATTGGATATTGTATAAAATCCCTATTAAGTAATTCTAGTTATTCTTAAGGATATATAGGATTTTAAAAAGAATGAATGGACCTTCCTAAAAGATGAGGTGAATTTGTTCTTTTTCTTCAGGTATCTTAATAAACTACAAGAAGTCAATGAACTTCAAAAAGATGAAGAGAGAAAAGTGATTGTTTTTGTATTACCTTGTATTCTGAATAGGTAAGACTAAAAACTTTAAATATTTCCTAAGCATTGTTTGGGAGATTTTGTTTACCATGTTTTAATTTTTTACAGTATTTCGGTTGATCACATTCAGTAATTAATTGAACCTTTTAGCTAAATAAATCTGGCATAATAAAAGTAAAAGGGAACATATGCTTGTAATTTTTATTTATTTTTATGTAATCTCATGTATAAGCTTAGATTTCTGTGGATAATAAAATGTTTACAGATTCTGTGAAACTGTAATTTTTTTTTTTACATTTTTAATAGTAATTTAATAGTTCTTTAGTCTGCAATGCAACTAAACTCATTGTAGCATAAATAATAATAATTAAAACAATTTACTGTTGCATGTTGAAGGAGAGTTGTGAATTACATCTCAAAATAAGCTTATTAAACATAATTGTTCACAAAGAAATAAATAGGAGAGAAGATTTGTAAGTTTATAAAAATAAATTTCAGTCAATTAATGGTGTAAGTCATTGTTTTGTTTTTGACTCCTTATAATTAATTCGTTTTTATGAATAAATTTGTTATAGTTTAAAAAGAGTAAGTGAAATGCACAACAAATTTCTGTATTGTAATTTACAAGTATTTTGTACAGAGATTAGATTAGCTTGGTACTGTTGTTACTTATGAACAAAAATGATATTGGTTATATGTTTGTGTGCTCTAACTTTACAATGCTAATTGATTCATCGGTAGGTTGAAGAAATGATATAATCTTTGTAAATTCAAAATAGTTTTTCACATTAGGAAAAAGGAAAATTAAAAAAAGAATAGATCTTTAAGTTGGTGTAGTGTACAACATGTTCCTGTTAATTCACCCCAAAAAGATCTACATTGTACCAAATGATAAAAAGGAGGATAAATAATATTATTTGAGGGGAAAAGTAAATATATTTCATACCAGTGGGCAGTAATCAGAATATATACCATAGTTTTATTTTTATGACAAGATATTGCCAACAAACTAAAAAGTTACTTACAATGTAGTATTGTCCATACATTATAAATTTTATTATGAATCGGTTGTTTATAGTCATGCTATAAACCACATAATAATGTTTATAAAGTTTCATTGGAGCTGTGCTTTTATTAACTACTGTTTTCACATGAGAATACTTTACAAAATAATATTAAGCTGAGTTGAACTTTGCACAGCAGATTACTGTGTAAATGTTTATTTACACTACTGAGAAAAATATTTTAGACAATCTATAAACTGAATGTGTTTGTCAAATATCACCTAAAAATTTTTTTTTGATAGAAAAAATTCAGTCATGTGTGAATCAGTTATTTTGGGAAAACAAAATGCTTCATAGAAGTTTGTAAAGCTGTTACCATCACATTATCTTCATAGCTAAAATTTAAAATTTTAATTGATGTTATGGGGAAAGAATGATAAATAAATAAATTTTTGTTAGAATATTAGGATTTCAGCGAAATAACTAAAAGTTGTTTATTTTCTTGTGCATCAATTTTAAAGATTAAAACAAGAAAATATTACAATCTTAGATAGCAATCATAAAAACCTCAACTTATTTTGTTATCATTTGTCATTCGGGCAAAATGTGGTCAATTTTTAAATTCCTCAGGGTTATTTAAAGTTAATGATTAAATTTACCTATATATCTATCTATATATAT